GGGGATTTTACACCAGCACTTTGAAGTAGGTAAGTGGCGTTACGCCTACCAATAAAGAAAGGAAGAAGAGACACATTTTTAAAAGCCGGATCTTGGACTTAAAGAGCAGCATGAATTCCAAAACATGTTGCTGCAGAAACAAAAGCTATTTGGCAGAAGAAACATTCAGAAATATCTAATTGATTGTCATAGACTCCTTGCTGGATAATACAAAAATAGATTAGTGAATACGCTTGTAACTTTCAAGTCATTCATCTGAAACCAAGAACATGCAGATATAACAGCACTGGCCTGCATTTTGCATTAGTTTGACACTAGCTCTACTTCAGTTCCCTTTTCCTAATTTCAGACCATTTTCCTAAATAGTCTTTTCTAGCTCCTTATAGCCCTCCCCCCCAGCCCGAGGTCTTAAACATACAAATTCAGCTATGCAATAAGCATGTGATCCTACTAGGAATTTTATCCTGGCATGTTAGTGTGCTTGATTTTAAACAGCTGGTTGGGAACAGTTGCCAAAGCAGTGGTATTTTGTGGCTGGGCAGGAAGCCCCCGTTACAATAAATGAGATCAACTCTATGGGTACTTTGGGTGTGAAGCCTGGGGAGTAGGAATTTCATGGAATACATGTTTTCCAGCTGTAACAAAGATGCATTGCCACATTCTGACAGCTGCTGAGTGGCATGGGCTGTCACTAACTTGAGGAGGCATTTGCAGCGCCGCGTGGGACTGATGCAGAACCTTTAAAGCTTCCTGAAGTTGTTTGCAGTATGCTGTTTTCACAGAGAAATGTTTAGTTTTCTGTTTCATTCTTGGTGTAAATGCTTTAGGCGCAGGTATAAATGTTAAATGTAGCAATGGAGGCCAAATACATCCAAAGAGGCCATAAAAGCAAGTAACGCTGGTAAGTGCTGCCTACTGTTGACATGGGAAAGCTTTTACATTGGGAGGTGTTTTGGAAGCAGCCTTTGCGGCGTTGCTGAGGTGGGAACTGTTACCTCCCCCGGGGCAGATTGTGACAGGATGGGGCTTTCTTTTCTCAGGTTGTCAGGCACGGGGCTGGTGGTAATGGATCTGCTGGTCTGGGGGAAAAGGGCCTAAACTGCGAACGGAAAGCAGAAATTGCTCTTGGTGATAAAATAAATGGGACATCTAAGTATCTGATGATTACACAAGTATAATCTGATACTGTGCATTGAAACATTGTTTCCTGCACGCTCTTCAGTTTGTTCGAGTTTTTGCTCTTTTTTTTTGTTTTCTTAAATTGAAATTAATTCTGTCTGGGTATTCCTAAACCAGAGGATGAAGTAGGTAAACATAAGATGCATACCAAAGATGTCCTTAATGTTTCAGTGTTTCTGCAAATGTTTCAATTTTCATGTAGTTATCTGTTTTTCATGGTGAATATAAAGAAATATGGGGGGAAATAGAAAATATTTTAAATGTGATCTGTGCAGAGTTACAGAAATATCCAAAACTGTCATGTCTGTTGAAGAATCACTGCATCAAATTTGGATAATAAATGTAAGCATAATCATCAAAGTGTGAAACAGAAGGATTTTAGCTCTGCCTTGAAGTGCAAATCTCAACACGTTCCTAATTTAGAGCTTTCATCTGTGCTATCGCTGTATTTGTCAATGCGACTGTGGCCGTTGTATCCCTGTGGAATAACCCGTGAGACTGGCACAGCTTTCCAGCGGGAAATACTGATCCCAAGGAGCAGGGAACAGGATGTCAGCTAACGCTGCATCCCGGCAGTTCTGTGGGAGATGCAAATTCTGAAGTTGCATAGACATTGCTCTGGAGTGATCGTAGTGCTTTTAAAGAAATTGTGTTAATATGAAATGTGAAAGTGTTTTGAATGAAGATAGCATAGGAAATGATTCCCAAAGCTATTACAATTTTTACCTCAAGCTACCATTAGTGGTGTTTTTTCAGGGTGTGTGTAAAGCCGGATCAGCTTATTTTTGTTTAAATGGGCAGTAAGAAAGTGTTTGTTTGCTGTCATGACGGTAAAGCTAAGGAATTCCTGATTTCCTTTACCCCAGTGATAACTCACCTATAGTCTATAAACTGAAAAATGGAAAAACAGGCATTATTTTTACATTCTGCTCTGGGATTATCCCTAAAACACTAATTAATTTGATTGTGAAATCTTTAACAGCCTAACCCACAAACATTTTTTTCCCTGGACACAAGCCTGCGGAGTCCTGTCCTCGGGGGACAGAGCCGCGCCGGCCGTGCTGGGGACTGAAGCGTGGCACCGTGCTGGTGGCAGCGGGGGATTCGCCCGGCGCGCTCGGTGAAGGAAAGCTGCGGTTTGGGCAGGCGGCCGCATCTTTGTTGGAAGTTCTGCGGTCTGATTTCCCAAACGTCATTTTTCTGCTTGCCAAACTTCTCTGCGCCGCCGTGGGCGTGTGCTGCCAGGTCTGGTCAAACGGGCGGCGGGCTGAGAGAGGAGCGGGGCGCCGATTCAGCCGCTCCGCTTCGACGCTGCAGCCCGGGGGTCGG